TGGAGTAGCAGCGAAGCGTGAAAAAATACTATAGAGCCCCGCAGTAAAGATCGCGAAATATCAGAGCGCCATCGTCTTGCAAAAGCCGGGCACAGCAGCCCGGCCCGAGCAGGGGCCGTGCGCTGCCTTGCGCGGCCGCGCAGCCGCCTAGAACTGACGAGGAGCCGAGCCCCGGGGAGAGCCAGGCTCTTCCCTCGAGGTTGCTAGCTCTCTCTCTTTCGCTCTTGCCATTTAAGCTGAAGAAGGAGAGGCAAAGATCGGGAATGGAGGATTAGAGAAAGGGAGACACGAAAAAAAAAAAAAACTTGGAGGAGAGGACTAGGAAGGAACGAGGACTGTTTATACGGAGGTCTGTGCGAGGAATGTCCTGGCTAATGGTCTCTGAACACCCTGTCCCCTCTTTTCCCAGTACCCTGCTCCACTCTCCTATTTGGGCTTTAGCACTGGCAGAGCTTCTCCATGTTGTTTTCCTCCCAAACTGCTTCGGCAAGCTTCCCAGCCTCATTTTGGCCACCCTCCTTCCCCAACACTTAATGAGGTTGTCTAACTAAACAGCAAAGCACATTAAACTATACACATAAAGGATGTGAGTTTGGGTTGTTTGGGATTTTTTATGTTCCCTTACAAATTGTAGGTAAATTGGGAATAATACCTGAGCTGCTCCACAGGATGCTTCTTCTAGAGCTGAGGGTGAAGGTGGCATGGCATGAAATGAGCCTGTAAAAGCTGAAGGCTTGAGGAAGCTTCTGACCCACCTCTGTTTTTATTGGGTTGATTGTTTCCTCACACCTCCAATATTTCAGGAAAAATGCTAGCTTCCTCAAGGAATTTGGGATGAGGCCATCATGAGATGCAAGGCACAGACCCCAAGATCTCACCACAGGTCACTAGGGATATTCTTAACATGCCTAAAAGTAACCCTTCCCTTGTTGGCAGAATTAGGACCCTATTAGGTTTAGCAGTAGCGTGTCACAGAGGAAACAGGCCTATGCTATTTTCTTCTACCAAGTCTCTCAGATATAATTCACCAGTGACCAGCACTAGAAAAATGCACGAGGGGAGCTACAAGAAGCCCAAACCCTCTTTCCTCAGCTTGCTGTAGGGACAGAGCATGGTTTCCCAATGGCTTAGCTGATCCTGCTGCCAGCTCTGCCTGCTCCTCCTTGCTCCAGGCAGGAGGAGAGCTGCAAGCGCCCAGCCACCGACCTGAACTCCCCAGACTGACAAAAGATGTGGAAGCCAACTGGAGTTTTAAGACCTTTTGCTCATTTGATGTAAACTCTAGAGGGAGCCTAAGGACAAAGATCACGCCAGAGCCAGTAAGCCGGGTTGGGCCAACCTCCCAGCGAACAGCAGGGCGGGGGGAGCCCCGGCTGCCATGGGGTTGGCCTGGGGGAGGGCTCTACTCGGGCAGGGGCCTGTTCCCACGGTTTGTTGGCATGGGATAGCAGCTCTGCTGGGCTGGGTTTTTTGGCCTGTGCTTACCGCTTCCTGTGCTGCAGGTGGACGGCGGTTAGGCCCAGAGCGTAGACTCACCCATCAGCCCAAACCCCAGATCGTATCGGGGCACGAGGACCAGCTTAGGTGATTTTGAGCCCTTGCGATGATCTGTCAGAACCGCTGACGGCTGGCAGCACTTAAGGGCATCCTTAGTGGAATTTGCTTTAAAAAGCAGGAAGTCTGTCAGAACCGCCTTCTCTACACCTAGCGCTAGCGAAAGGGGTTGGTCCGTTTCAC